TATATATATATATATATATATTTTAACATATAGCAATAATGAGAATATAGTCTAACAATGAAAAGAGTATGTCATGAATGAAAAGGGAAGGGAAAAGGATTTGACCTTGTGCATCATTGGGTGCAGGAGATAGGAGTGAGGAATTCTCTGGGAGGGTTGTAAGGAATAAAAATGCCAACAAAAGGTGGTGATGTAAATGGGTTTTTATTTTCATGTCCAACGCAAACTTCTTTTACCTGCCACAGAAATTATATTAGTCCATTGTGAAGCAGCGTAACGTTGATGGCAGAGCAACCAAAAATTGCGTAGATATAGAGTCATCTTTCTCGATAACATCGTTTGGATGTGGATATTCTCGCTTACTCACTGTCATCAGATTACAGCTTGTGCACCATGGCCCTTGCTTTAATCACCAACTCTTTTAACCTTTTGCATTTTTTAATCATATTATTCTGATACCCTTTGGCCGGATATCCATGGTTTGCAGTAGTTAATAATATCGTTCTGTTTTCTTTGTAAGTATTCATAATGCACTTGTACCACTAGGATGAGCCGGGGTATGAGTGATTTGTATGAATTCTTAACTTCAATTTTCCGTATTCTCACTGTAACAAAAAAGATCATAATGCCCTTCCTTAGTTGTAAATTAACATTGCAATAATACTCATGTATACATATTACAAGCAATATATATTTCTGCCTTATACAATTTTTCCTATCCTGTTTTATCATGACTTTGTTTCCTATGATGCAGGTACTTCAGATTTTTAAAAAAAATAAGTAAATAATTTTTCTATAATACTTAAGAGACTAAATGAACAAAATATATTGTCAATTATCGCCCAACAAGTTTTCTGTTGAGATGCTTTGATTTTATGTTTTAGCTGTTATTATTTCATATGTTTATTTAGATTGTAATAGAGTATTAAGAGGTTGTTATATTTTATTTTTTTATAGGACTATAAGGCATGTGTATCAGAAAATTCTTTTTATTTAAAATTAAAAAATAGTTTTTTATGGACGTAGATTATATTGATTGAATCATGTAATTTGTGTGTCATTTTTTTTCTCTTAATTTCTTTCTTTTACATATTATCGTATCATTTTCAATGAATGAAAATTACAAAAGGAAAAACGAATATCCATCAATAGTTGTTAAAGCCATTGCACTCTAGCAACCATGTTCCTATTTTACTATGTCAATTCTTTCTTTTGATAAGGTAAAAATCATATTTTTAGTTTGTCTCTTTTCGGTTTCCCATTTCTATCGATTAAATAAGGTGTGGTTGATTTATTTTACTATTAAAATACAACTAAACAAAGTAATTAATCACATATAGCGTGTAATTGATTTAGTAATCGCCAGTTTTTATGTTTTTAAAATATTTATTTTGAAAATAATTTTCAAACTTTAATAGATTTTGGATCAGAAATTGAATTGTGATTAGTAGATAATTGTTTTGAAAAAAAAAATATAATAGAAAGTGAAAGTGTTTAAGATGTAATTCTTTATTTTTGAATCTTTGACTGAAAATCCTTACCGACAAAATGATGAGATTAACTAGGGTGAATTCCTTGTTTTGTCAGTAATATTTTATGGTTAAAACCCTAATTTAGTCCCTTGTAATATTTGTTTATTTTAATTTAGTCTCATTTTAATTTTTTGTTTTAATTTGATCCTCAATAATTTAAATTATTACAATTTGAGACTTCCGTCCAAATGATTTAGACGGAGTTAACTATTGGTCACGTGGATGCTAAATTTTTTTTAATGTATCTGGAGCCAGAACGGCCCGTTCTGGTTTCACACTTGGAGGGTTAATTTTGCATTCAAGTGGCGTCCACGTCACTAGGAGTTAATCCCGTTTAAATCATTTGGACGGAAGTCCCAAATTGTAATAATTTAAATTATTGGGGACTAAATTGAAACACAAAATTAAAGTGAAACTAAATTGAAATAAAAAATATTATAAGAGACCAAATTAAGTTTTTAACCATATTTTATTAAAGATATATAGTTATAAATAAACAGAAAAAAAAAAATTAATCGTGACCCTTATAACATTTAGAATTTTCTTTTCTATTACTATTTAAGCATTATGAAGTGGGCCTTGAAAGAAAAGTATTGGACTTGGAATATTGAGTCCAGTTGCAAGGAAATTGGAAGCAAATGAAATCGTGGACGTGTTTGTTGTGTTTGCAGTGACGGGTCTGTTTGCAGTCCACACGAACACCATCATCATGTTCTTATCTCATCTTATGCTACTGCGTCCCTTCTTTCTTCTTCTTTTTACATTTTCTTATTCTAAATTTTTCATTCTACCTGCACTTGGCCTCCGCAAGGCATGTTTCCCACTCTGCTCATTCTAAATCATTTCTCTGCTCTCAATTACTTCTGTTTTTCTCACATATTAACTAAATTTTGGAACTTGACTAATGACAACTAGTGGGTATGCAATTATGTTTTCGTTTTATGTTACAGTTTTTAGCGCACCATTTTGAACCGTGACTACCTCTGCATTCTAAATGATATGCTGTTAATCTTGCGTATTAATTTTTTTGGGCAGTATCAGGTTGCATTTGGAGGTGAGGACATAGATATACATATATTATTATATAGTGTGTGTACATATGGCAACGTGGGGTGCACACTCAATGTTGTTATCCCATGGGGAAAGCACAGGCACTCCCAATTTACGTATAAAAGCAGGTTTTACGGGTAGGGACAGAACAAGAGGATTTAAATATGCTCCTAGTGTGGTAGTGCTCAAAGTGTTGTCTTCAGCCAGAAAATCAACACGTTTGCGCTTGTTAAGACCTTATCGCCAATCTTGCGGTTTGGGCCAAGGGAAAGGATATTCTTCCCCTACTACTACAAAAATACCTCGGGTAAGTAACTGTGGCTTAGTTTACCCCACTTCGTTGTTAACGCAATCATGCTTACCCTTTGTGTGAAAATGCAAGTTTTGTTCCTAAGTTAACACCTTGATATCCAATGTCCATCTTCTGAGTTAACTTACCCCTTGTTTTGATAGGAACAGATATTCAAACTCACGGTAGATAGAATGCTTGTTTTTCTCAAAGATTGGAGTAATTTACGCGTCACGGCAGTAGCTGGCATTTTGATATCTGTTTTAATGATCATTCCATCAGCTGATGCTGTTGATGCTCTCAAAACTTGTGCTTGCTTGTTGAAGGATTGCAGGTTTGTGATCTTTGTTTCTCTTGTCCTTGTTCTGCCATAATAACATATATTCCTTACATTTCACCTTAACAGATTGATGAAAAGTTGTACAATAGGCCTCCAATTTGATACTCTTTTGGTCTATGCAGGATAGAACTGGCTAAGTGTCTTTCAAACCCATCTTGTGCTGCCAACATTGCTTGTCTACAAACTTGCAACAATCGACCCGATGAGACTGAATGCCAAGTTAGTCCTGTGCTTTATGTTGATTTCATGCCTGCACCATTATTCATGTCTTCAAACCCTGCTTATGAAACTTCTTTTTCTTCTTATTTTTTCCAGATTAAATGTGGGGACCTGTTTGAAAACAGTGTGGTTGATGAATTCAATGAGTGTGCAGTCTCACGGAAGAAATGTGTACCCAAAAAATCTGATGTTGGAGAATTTCCTGCTCCAAATCCCGCTGTCCTTGTTAATAGTTTTAACATTGCTGATTTCAGTGGCAAGTGGTTCATCACTAGTGGCTTAAATCCTACCTTTGATACCTTCGACTGCCAGTTACATGAATTTCACACAGAATCCAACAAACTTGTGGGTAATTTGTCATGGAGAATACGGACTCCGGATGCTGGATTTCTTACTAGGTCCGCTGTTCAGACATTTGTACAAGATCCTTCCTATCCCGGGATCCTCTACAATCATGACAACGAGTACCTTCACTATCAAGATGACTGGTAATTTCTTCCTCATAAGCTCTCTTTTCAATTTATACTTAGCTACACATGTATAGTTATTGGTAACAGTATCCACATGAAGCAAATTGACGTGTGGGTTGTGCTGGAGCCAAAATAAAACTAGCTTTTTACTTACTTGTAGTGTAAGATACAACCTAAGTCATTCTTCCGGTGACCAAAACAAGTTTGTTAATGAAGATAAGAGAGTTAGAAAAAGGGATTTTGATCATTATCTGGAGGTTAAAATTCAGCTAACAAAATTTGAATAGAAATTTAAATCAACGAATGACAGCACCAATTTGCAATTGCAACTCCAATGTTCAGGTCCAATTGATTTGAGAATGTTCCAATTAACTTCGACCACAAATTTGTTACTCTAGCCTCTAAACAAAATTCTGAAATGAATTTCCAAACCTAATCAGGTTTAGTTCACAGGCATAATCATGCTTGCAAACAAATTTGGAAAGAATGGGAAGTTTGAATCTAAAATAGAATTAAGAACGAGTCTCAGAGCCCTCCACAGCAATCTCCGATTGAGAAACTCAAAAATGCACATAACGCAAGCAAGAAGAGATGAAAAATCTTGAATCCAAAAGGTCACAATTACACAAATGATCCAAATCTATTTTCGCACTCTGTTTTTACTCTTTTATAATTATAACTATCAATTCTTTCCTAATTCCAGGACTACCCTTAGCCCAACTACTAGTCCATGGAATAAGCTTTTCAAGTATATCTCATTTGCCTAATTTGGACTTTAAAGTTTAAATGATATGTCCAAAATACAAGAGGTGTGCCATGCATGCGCACCTTATACATTTGGCCTAACTTCAAGCTGAGTTTTATCAAAGAAATGCTCGAATTGACCCAAACTCCATTTCACAAGAATTGTATATTCCTCTCTTAGCTTTCCTAATATGTAAAGAATATCAACATCAAAGGTCTATTGCTCAAGTTATGGCTAAAATACTAAAAATTGTGTCGAATGATGTCAGGATAGTTTGAAGCCCTATTTTACCCAATAATTCAAATTGATGCTAGGACTAATCAATTAAGACCGAAACATCATTAATAAGGCTATTATAGGGGTAATTAAATGTGATAGAAATAGTATCTATTACACACCCCGCATGTTGCTATTCAAAATGAAGTGTCTGGAGGAAGTAAATATCATTTTCCAACTTCAGAATAAGAATGGACAAGATAAAATGTTGCTTTTCCTTTTACATGTGCATATCTTAAATTACTTCATATTTGCAATACATGAGGATTCAGAGTCTATAGTTAACTTTAGAAGATTTACAACCAATGATACATATGCAGGTATATTTTGTCATCGCAGATCGAGAATAAACCAGATGACTACGTATTTGTATACTACCGAGGCAGAAACGATGCATGGGATGGTTATGGAGGTGCTGTTGTATACACAAGAAGTGCAGTTTTGCCTGAATCTATAGTTCCTGAACTTGAAAAGGCAGCTAAGAATGTGGGAAGAGACTTCAGCAAGTTCATCAGGACAGATAACACGTGTGGACCTGAGCCTTCCCTGGTGGAAAGGCTGGAGAAAAAGGTGGAGGAAGGAGAGGAGACCATTGTGAGGGAAGTTGAACAGTTAGAAGAAGAGGTAGAAAAGGTAGGGAAAACAGAACGCTCATTGTTTGAGAAGTTGGCAGAAGGGTTCAAAGTATTTCAAGAAGATGAGGAAAATTTCTTAAGAGGGCTATCAAAAGAAGAAATGGAGATACTTAATGGGCTCCAAATGGAAGCCGGTGAAGTAGAAAAGCTCTTTGGACGTGCCTTGCCGATAAGGAAACTAAGATAAGTCTGAAAACCAACTCCAAGATAACTTGGCAACAAATTTTTTTTGATCATGTTAATTTTTTCTTTGCTTTTTTATTCATTGACTAAAAATATTGCATGCATTTAGATATCTTTCCTCCTAGATCATTGCTTTTATGTTGACATACTGATAGTTACTCAAATATTTGTAACTGCGTTTCTCATTGTTGTATATATTCAGAGTATCGTATTTGCTTAGGTTTATGGTATGTTTGGTCACACATTGCAAGACAGGAAAAGTTCCTCTTCATTTCTTTTCTTATTCATTTCTTCCATTACTATGTTTCTGGGAAAATAAATTATACCTTACATTACGTGTGTATTATTTCCCTTTCATTTATTTGTCCAAAATTATAGTAATGGAAGAAATGTAGAGGATCTCAACCTGATTTCGTGCCTCCTCAACATGTTATAGTATATATTAGTTGAAAAATATTTGGTTTGGACATTCCGACTCGAGAACTGCTATATGCTACCCGTGTTATTTTCTCAACTAATATATATAACCATCAATAATATTAATCATTGAAATGAGATGCATTCACTAGTTTTTTTTTGTTATTAATATATCAAACTTTCTACCTTTTTATTGAATATTTTTGTTACCAAGTATTAGCATGTTTTTTTATAAAAAAGTGATGAAACTTTTCTTCTTAGAATGACTTGTTTTGTGATGCGGTTGATGAGATGAGATAATTTGTTTTTCTTTTCTTTTAAGGAAGAATCAATCCAAAGCAAAGAATTGTCATGGGCCTAAACTTGGATTTATCCAAGTGAAGAGTCTGTCAGTCAGTGGATTTGTTGCTAAAGTTTATTGTGGTTTGATAGGGTGTTGGAGCTTGATCCAAAGAAACGGTTAATTTGGTGTAGGCCCTCGGAGTCTCAAACTTCCATTGGCCGTGAAGCCACGTCATCACTTATAGTATAAGTGCCTAAGTTGAAAATTGGAATATCAAAAAAATAGACCAACCCAAAAAAATGTCGAAAATTAGATACTGTTTGCACATCTAAAGATATTTTCAAACTAAATCATTAGTTCAGTTATAAAAATAAAAAATAATTATAAATAAAAAATTAAAAAAAAAAAAAGCAGAAAGAGATTTCAAGATTAATATGAAATTAAATTATTAATCTTTTATTATCAAGAAGAAAGATAATTTCAAATATATTATTTTTCATTCATAACATTAAAACATGAAATTTTATTTAAGAAGTCCGTCTCTAATCTCACTCAACCAATGATTTGTTGGTAGGTGTTTTAAATATAATGCATTAAATGGGTAGTACAAATCTTAGGTTGAAATGAATGAATTAGGTGTTACAATAAGTTTAGTATGATAATTTGAGTGACCGATGCATGACGGTGTGAACATCCAATTCCATGAATTAAGCATGCATAGAGGGGGAGTTGGTCACGTGGGGCAACTCCACTGTGTGAAGTGTGATTGGTGGAAGGATAGTTTTATTTTCACTTGTGAATAAAAAAATAATGAGATATGAGAAAGGAAGGGGACATAAGTGTCGTATTATTGAAGGAAACATGCAAGGAGGTTTTGGCGTGTCATGTCATGTGGTTGAAATGCGCGTTCCTTTGACTAATGGATGTCACATTTTCAAAGAGAGGCCCCCCACTCCCCACCACCACTATGCCAAAATTGCATTCATATTTTTATACTACTTTTAATCACAATATTTGCATTTATTTATTGTTATTAATTAAAAAACTTTTACCTTGAAAATAACATTAATAAATTATTAAGAATAATAAGGAAAAAGTGATGCAATAATAAAATTAAAAATTTCTATCATATTATTATTGACACAAAATAAATAATATTAAAAAAAATTAGCGATATATAAGAACTAAGAGAATTAATAAATTATAAATATAAAAATTAAAAAGATTTATCTTAAATTATAGGATAAAATAGATGAAAAAATATATTAATATAAAAAATAAAAAGTTGATTTAAATTATAAAATTAAAAGATAAAATGATTAAAATTATAAGAATTAAAAATATATATATTGACTTACTATTTTTAATTAAAAGTTTTGAAAGTAGTTTTCTAAGTTGAAAATAAATAGGTAGTAAGTCAAACATGGGTAACAAGTGTGTTGTTTTTGGCGTTTCCCTTTTACACCGTCACCGTGCTTTGTACTCTTTAGTGCTCTTCTTCAAATAGCAAAACCTCTAACTTTGACAGTACTATCTTTCCGTTACAGCTCATCCCAACCTTGTTTTTGTTGTTTTTTTTTTATCTTTCAGCCAAATTATATACACTGACGTTTCCTTTTTGACTTTTGTTATGTCCCATTTAAGGCTATAATATCTCTATTAACGACGAATAAAGAAAACATTATACTGTATCTATTTTTTTATCAGTCATTATACTGGATGTATTAAAAAAAGTAATTAATTTCTTTGTTTATAATAAATTTAGAGTTTAATAGGTATGTATTATTAATACAGAAGTTTTCATAATGCTCATTAATACCAATTAATGTTTATTATAATTTTTAAGATAATTATTACAAAAGTTAATAAAATTATTATGTATGACATTTTGTAATTAATTCTTATATATTAAATATGAATAATTATTTTACATGAAAGTATTTTTAAGAATTTTTTTCAACAATTTTTTTTAATTCAGTTTTTTTTATCATAATTATTTATAAATTAAATTTTAATATTTTTAAAATAAAAATATCAATAAATAA